TACTCGCAAGAGCAGGTGGCAGGACGGACTTGGCTTGCCGAGCTCCGCTCCCCACCGGGCACCTCATCTCTCCCCTGGGTCTCTTCGCTGCACAGCACAGCTCAAGCTGAATCGCGCAGATGGAAACAAGCGTGGGGTGGCGAGTGGTGCTTTTCCGAGCTCAGGAGTGCCCAGCCTTGGTGCCGCTGGCGTTGGGAACGGGGTCACTTCTTGTCCTGGGGCCCATCCACGCATTAGGGAATGTTTGGTGGCCTTCGGGGCCGCCTCCCACTGGGCGCCAGTAGCCCCCCTCACCAGCCAGTGGGGGCAACCAAATGTCCCCACCACTAACGCAGTGAAAAGACTAACATGACAGGTGGCTTCACGGGAGAATGGGCCAGGGCTCGAAGCTCAAAGCTCGGGCTCCTCCCCTTCCTCCTGCCCCTCGTCTCCCCCCACTCCCCTTTCTCCGCCTGTCTCTCACCTCCGCTTCTGGCCTCTCCCATGCTACCTCACTCGTCACTCGCAAACAGCCCCCCTCCGGGCGTCAGCAGGCTGCCAGCAGCACTGAGCATGTCCCACCGGCCCCAAACCCTGAGGAAGAAGAACTTCCCTTTTCCAGGCGTCCCCTAAGAATCTGGGGACCAACTCAGCGACCCAGCTTCCCACCCCCAAGCCAGTGGCGTAGCCAGGGGTATGGGTCGGGACCTGCCCTCAGCTCCCCTGTGCTTCCAGGAGGCCAGACAGAGCCTCCACCTCCAGGTGTAAACTCGCCCGGCTGCTTCCTGGGGCTGCCGCCAGCCGGCTTTGTCAGAGGCCTTTCCCTCCTTTGCGCCTCTCCCTTTGCGCCTCTCGTCTGCCTGCCAAGTTGTTCTGCCCCCACTCCAGCACCCCTTCTCTTTCCTTGTTGCACCGTTGTCCCAATCTCAAAAGCTTAGTGACTCCTGGCTGCAGCCTCGCTCGACATGGGCTGTATTTTTTAATCTGAATTTTAATTCCAGCTCATTCCAGTGCTGGCTGGATCTCCCAGCCCCCAAGCCCCAGGCCCCATGCTAATTTGCTTCTCCCACTTCAACTGGTGCCGGAATAACCATTTTAAAAACTGCCTTGGGGAAATCTAATCAAATGAGAGCAAAATCTAATTTGGCACTAAAAGCCTTTGACTGAAGCCCTGTTTTCTAGGCCCTTGTGGAGCCTGAATAATAAACTCTTTCTGGATTTTTTTAAGGGCTGGGGGTTGGAGAGAGATGCGCGAGATGAAAGAGGAGATTCTAGCAGAGGAAATAGCTCTGGACACATTGCCCCCTGCCCCCCCCCCGCACTGGGGTGGGCTTCCTAGCGCCCTCCCCCCCCAAAGAAAGAGCTGTCCCACCAGCCGAGGCAAGAATTGAAGCTCTTTAGCATGCCAAGCTCAAGCTGCCCGTTCATCAGCAAGACCTTGGCCCAGATCTCAGGGACAAACCAGTTGGTCACAAGCCTGGGACGAGAGAGGCCTGGGGGAGAACCCAGTTCCCCCAGTGAGGAATTCAGAGTGCCCCTTGCTCTGGCCTTTTCCCATTCACTCTTCTTCTGCTTAGATTATTTGTGGTCTTAGGTCCCTTTCAGGATGTGAACCTACAATCCTGTTTCTAGGACTGTACGTGCGAAACCTGGCAGGTACCATTCCAGGGAGCACTCGGACCCCTTTCTGTTTCCCTGACATGCTTCTGGCAGCTTCTCCGCACTGCAGCCTCCAGGACCCTGCAGCACTGGCCCTCTCTCTCCTCTGTCATGTCATCTTCTCCCTCCTTTACTGGCCTCCTTGGGAGCCTCGAATGCCCACAGGCTTGTTCCTGTCTCAGGACCTTTGCACTTGCTGTCCCGCTGCCTGGAAGTTTTTCTTCCATCCCTGTATTCCTTCTGACTCGTTCTAATTCCTCAGAGAGGCCTCCCCTGACCGCCTGACCAGGGCCCCTCCCGTGGTCCTTCTGTCGTCCCCAGTCACACCCGCCTTTGTCAGTCTTGCTAGAATGCCAGGCCCCCCAAGGGCAGAGACCCTGTCGGTCTCACTGCTGTCTCACTGCTGCATCTCAGGGTCTCCACAGCTCCTGACACACCATAGGTGCTTATTTAATAGCTATTGAG